AAGAATATTTCTGAGCTTCCTTGTTATCTTATTATTATCACAATTAAACTTATGTTTTAGATGAGTTGGTATCACAATTCAAGTTTACTGTGTTGATAATGCCTAATGGCCCGATGAGAATTACCGGTTTGCCTTTCGATCCAGCTTGTATAAAGTCCGATTTTAAGCCGAAAGCGCCAGACGTAAAAGATCTTCTTGCTCAGTCTATCAAAATCAAGAAGAACCAACCTGCTGCAGTCCTCGTACCAAGTGGGGATGCTTCATCTGCATCAAAAAAGTAAACTTATCATTCCACTTCACATCATCAGTTGTAAATTCAGTAAAACATAATAAGAATTACTTAGGAGAACTACATGAGTGGATTATCGTGTTTGCATTATCCCAAATATACCTGCTGAAACAGTGGCTTGTAAAAATTTAAAACACTTTGGAATGACTTCATCTTTTTATTTGTTACCTAATTCTGGAATGATAGGTTTATTTCATGTCGATGGCGATATTACCCCCGATTCGTCTGATAGTGTGCATATGTTAGCTCTTGGCGGATATAAATACATATTGGAGGGGAAATGCTTTAGTTGGCAAAGTTTAAGAGCGTGACTCAATCTTTTACTAATTGAAATTTATGAGCACACTCGGCTGGCTTTGGCCTAGCAGCTCCGTGAGCTCTGCTCGAAAAATGTCCTAGATTGGCATGGTGCAATTTGTCACGAGTAGTCATCATATATGTAAAAGGCATCCAGAGAGGTATCTGCCCACTGAATTTTTCAGGGCTAGTGGGGAATTTCTTTTGACTGCTGACGTTTATATGAAGCCTCACACATTCGATGAGTAGATTTGCTCGCTACTTTGCTTGTGCTAACCTTGACCAAAGCTTCAATGTTTTACGTCCAACCAAAGTGGTCCCTTAATCATCGTGAAGGATGGGCTCTAAATTGGTTAATCAAGTGTGTATTTTCGGAACTCGTCTGTTTATGATTAGCCTTTAGTCTATATTTCGTTCCTCCGTCATTTGAATGAAGACAGTGGAAATGGAAATTAGTGTTTCATAATTGGTCCGATTAAGTAGGGCAAAATGCTTTTAATAAACTCAATGCTTGGTGAAGAGCTCGATTCTTTCATTTTTGCACGAATTTGTCGTATCGCTGATGGCAGAAGCTCCGGACCTCAGTATATAAATATTTACATTCTCTTGTGATTTGCAGGTTCTGATTAATTCTTCAAATCAGATGAGGTGATCAAACTAGACCTACTTGCTAAAAACAAAGCTAGCGTCATATGAGGCGTATTTACCCTATTCAGTTTAAGGTGATGGGGAACTGGTAGTTCAAGCTTCCCACAATGATATTAGCGGAGATGATGTTCCATTGAATCTCACAGCTTTGCTTTCCAAAATCTCCTCCTTTTCATGGTGGGCTTCAGTTTCGACCTTGCTTGGCAGTCCAAGTGCGCTCATTGCAATGTAAAGTACTGGCTAACATGTAAAAATAACACGCTGCTCTAACGTAGTTCAAGTCTTGTTGGAGGTGCTGATAATACCTAGGCGTGATTGAAACTGCAGTCCACCCCGTATGAAACATTTGGTGAAGCAAGGTTGAGAAATTCAATTGAAACATAAGCCTTATTCATACTACTATCAGGTTGCGGAAAAGTTGGGAGAACTAATAAGGAAATGGAGCACAAAAACAGTGTATAAAGAGAAATTAACAGTTTCTTCATTTAGAGAATATGCAGAACCTCCTACAAGATTTTATGCTTATGTGGTAAGGTATATGGGAGGACCTACCGACTCATTCAGAAGAGACTACGCGAGTACAACCGCTTGTAAAGGTCTGTGGCTCCACAAATCTGAGCTCGCTGAACATATGACCAATACAAGACACTTAATAGACTGGTCCAAAACAAAGTTTTGCGGGTCAAGGGGACTTGAGTGAAAGCGTAAGATTAGGGAGTCTATATAAATTAACCAAACATCCAACGTCATAAATAAGAGGAACGAGTGTAGAAAACTAAGTAGGAACTTTTTGTGGCTACTTAAGGAAAGGAAGAGCCAGAGAGCAAGAGGAGGCTGGATTAGCCTCGTGTCTAGCTGAGACTATCGCACAACCCATGAAATGAGTATTACATGCACACAATAGCACAAGACGAAACATGCTTTAATTTTAGATGACCGTACGCTAGCCTTTGTGTGATAAAACGGCTAGCGTCGAACATACTTCCTATTTGTGAAGTAATTTCACCCATTTTCAAGCATGTAGAATAAGGTTGGAGTGACAGACCAGATCGTGGGATGTCTAATTAAGATTGAGAAGTTACGTGTATAAAAAAGCGACTGGGGTTACAGCCGGTCACCTTTTCTCTTAGTTTAGCATCTTTTTGACCTTATTTTCGCAACATGGTCATATTGGTAGGAAGACTTAGAGCAACGCACCTAGTCCAGAGTCCATTGTCTGCATGGTCATTTGCAAAGTTGAACCATGGACGCGGTACATTCCCAAACGTTTCACCGGCATCGTCTCTTTGACGAGTTGTGTGGTGCTAAGAATGGCGATACTCATTGACGATGGCGGCGAAACGTTTGG